TTTTTTTTGACTTTTTTTTGTTTCAATGACTATTTTAGATTATTATTTTGATGGTCAAATTTATTTATGTTTCACTAATATTCTTGTAAAATTTATTATAGAAGACCCAATTTTTTTCTTCAAATGCAAAAACTAAATTACAATATAGCCAAAAAAATAGTTTTAAATTTTTTTCTTTACACTAAGGAATGAAAGAAAAAAATAAAATAAGGTTAAGAACTCAAATAATGATAATCAAAGAAGTCAAAATAATTAATGTATGAAAAAATAAAAATATACCTTGAACTTTGCGAGAAGAATCATATATACCCCTAAATGATTTTAAAAAAATTGAAAGTCAAAAATATAAATTTAAAACTAATTTTTTCACTTTCGTTAAATGAAGGGTATATGTGAGCTCATTTTGTAACGATAGGGGTATATGTGAGCCGTTTGTATAAATGTAAGGGTATATATGAGCCACTTTCATAACGATGGGCATATCAACTCCAAATAACAAAGTTGAATGGTATATGAGGCCCTTTTCCCTTTAATTTATCAATCAATATTATTCATATTAGGCATTTGTTCTTACTGGATGTAGATGAAACTCTTATGAGAGTAATTGGGATCACTTTAGGTTTTCAAAAGGTATGATAAAAAAAAATACAACTATATATAGCCATGCAGCTAATTATGAATTTATATCAATTTATTCAAGTATATTTGGTCCTTGTTATACTTTTTGTATCAATTATATTTGTTTGTATCTGCTACTACTGATTATACATTTATATTAGTACATCAAGGGTACTTGTTCCTCGTTATTTTTGAGTCCGGAGCCAAAAGGGCAAAAAAATTGTCAAAAATTCCAAAATGGCACATCAAATTTATTTAAAACCAAAAGGGCAAAATCGCTCCTGACGAAACGATTTTCCTTTGACACAAATCAGCGATTTTGTAAATAAAAAAAAAACTATTTTAATTAAAAATCGCTGACAAAAAAATTTATTTTTTTATTAAAAATCGCTGCTTTTAAATTAGAATTTTTTTTCCTTACACATCACTGTAGGAGCAGCGTTTTTCATGCCTAGTGCTATTATTTTCATGCCTATTGTTAATTATTAATAATATAAAAATGATAAACAAGACGGACAGTATACTCAATAAAATTGTTGAAGCATGAAGAAAATTGAATTATATATCATAAATAATAAAAAAAAAATATTAAATTTTACTGTTGTCGTACGATTTTCAGGAGCGATTTTCTTCTGACAAAAGTTGCCGTACGATTAAAAAAAATAAAAATCGCTGCTAAGATCGCTGCCTTAGCAGCGATTTTCTCAAAAAAAAAATAATCTTTTTTTCTTGATTTTGGTTAAGAATTTTTAAAAAAAAAGCTTTTTTTTTCAAATTTAATATTCTTTTATTATTATTTATGATATATAATTCAATTTTCATGTTTCAACAATTTTCTTGAGTATACTGTCCGTCTTGTTTATTATTTTTATATTATTAATAATTAACAATAGGCATGAAAAAAGCTGCCCCTGCAGCGATGTGTAAGGAAAGAAAAAAAAATCTGATTTAAAATCGCTGCCACAGCAACGATTTTTAATTAAAAAAAAATTCTTTTAGCAGCGATTTTTAATGAAAGAAAATAAAAATTTACAAAATCGCTGCCAGGGTAGCGATTTTGTCATTGTGTCAGAGGAAAATCGCTTCGTCAGGAGCGATTTTGCCCTTTTGGTTTTAAAAAAATTTGATGTGCCCTTTTGAATTTTTGACAATTTTTTTTGCCTTTTTGGCTCCGGACTCCGTTATTCCTTATGTATCATTTAAGTGTATCTGCAACTTATTATAAATTTGTATTAATGTATTCAACTGTATTAGTTTCTTGTTATACATTTGTATCATGTATTTGAGTGTATATGTTCACTAGTATATATTTGTATTAATGTATTTGAGTATTTTTCTAGTGTACTCATCACCAGAATGTATTTATATCAATGTTGTAGCAATGTATTCTAAGTGAAAAAAAATTGTAAATCAAAAAAAAAATTATGTATTAATATTGTATAAGTAATAGTTAGTGATATAGTGAAATTAATGAAGAAGAAAAAAATCTTGTGGCACAATTCTTTTTTATTATTAAAAAGACCTTAAGAGTTTTCAGTGCCATTGATTATCAAAAATTGAGATACTAGTGAGAGTGGTTTATGCTAATTTACTTCTTCTTTTTTAAAATGTTGCACAATTAATACATTTACATAAAATATTGTATTTATATTTGAAGTCACCTAGTGATTAGTAAATTGAATTAAAAATTATAAGACTCCAAATTCAAATTTCAATAAATATAATAATTAAATACTAGGTAATACCTTTTTATTTTCCTATTCTTAATGGATATAATTAGTTATTATCTAATACCTATCGCTAAAAGGAGGACGCAAAGTGATCCTAACACTAAGGTTAACATATATATACTATAAATAATATTTAAAAAAACGTTGCTTTTGACACATACAATGAATAAAAAAAACACACTAGAAGATATTAAAGCTTTTTTAGCTCAATGGTGGAATTAAAATATTTGAATGTCCAATAGAATTGAGTCTTGTTAAAGTCAAAAATATCAACGTGGCTTGAATATGCTTTAAAGCATAATAATAATTGATTTAAATGTGACCTACGAAACACCGAAAACCGTGACCTAATCCAATGCGTAAACCATCCC